CAACAAGACTCTAACTGGCAGCACAGCCAAGTACCTGATGCCCACACATGGGAAGCCGAGGCACTGAGATGAGGACACGCACAGGAATTTGGTGTTAGCATGCTAGGAAGCCACGCAGTGAGCCAGCTGTCCCTTTCCATTTCGGAAGGCTGGGTATCCCCTTCCTCCACCACCACCAGGCTGATGGTGGCATGCTGCTATGCACAGGCATCACCCCAAAGGCAGCTGGGCAAGAGTATTGGTGCTAGATGGGTTTTGGTGACCCTGTGGGCTTGCCATGGGTGGGTGTGACTGTGCCAGCAGCTCTTTAGCTGCAAAGAGAGCAGCTCCAAGCACACAGTGATACCTGCTCCTGTGTCACGCTGCTTGCTTTGCCCTGCAGCTGAGGGCACATGGGTCCTCTTCTGACCCCACCATCAACCTTGAGAATATTTACGCTTCACTATGTCTGTCTGCTGCTGCACATTCCTGACTGAATTTCCCTCCTCACTTAGCTAACATAAAAAATAAAGGCTACAATACTCCCACCAAAACCAAGGGGGTGGAGACAGYAAACAGCCCCATAAACACTTCTGAATGCTGATCTATATTCTTCAGGGTCGAGTATGAATGCTACTTTTAGGTTACCTTCCTTTGACTTTCTGCATAATGCCATTAAGCATTAGTCTGGTTAGCATAAAGATTAGCTGTGTATTATAGAAATTATCCAGTCCTGAGGGCAYCCTAGGAAAATAAGCAGCTTAAAATTTTGTTAATAGACACATCGGGCTTACAAAATAACTTCTTCCCACTCCCCACTCTTTTTCCAGATACCCCAACAAGGCCATGTCTTCCAAATTAGCCATCCTCAACTTGCTCCTGGGCTCAGGAGTATCCATTTCTCCTGCCTCTGGATGGCCTTTGGGTGAACCCTGGCAGCCTTCAATCAACAACTGATTTACCCCAACCAGAATTAAGAAACTCCATAATCCATTCCCCAGCATGTCCCCCTGTGCCCAGGGCYTTTGTTCCTTTTTACCTAGGACTGCATCAGTGCCTAGACTAATCCTACACTACATCATCGAGCCTCTGTTCCTCCCTTACCCCTGGAGACCTGCTTGACACATCGCRGTTGCTACAGATCRTCACCCAGAGCTTGATTTAGCCACWGCCATRACCAGCAAGACCTGAGCAGGTCTTTTAAAATAGGGAAAACCAATGTCAGAAGGGAAATCTGACAGCATTGTTGGAGCAGCAGCTTGCAGATGAGAGCACTCTGAGGAGCACATCCTATCAGTACAGCTCTGTTTATCTCTGCCTGGGCCAGCTGCTCCTGCCTGGAGCTCTTCAGCTGCATTTCCCACTTGCTTCTCCCTGATGTGATATTCACTATGTTGGATTTAAAGTCAGTCTGTCAGCACCACAGAGAGCAAGCTCACCTCACCTCACYTCACCTCACTCTGYCCCAGACTCAAACAATTTTATCAACTTCACAGCAGAGTCCTACACAGCTGGGCTTCTCAGTTTTACACTCTGTGTGCACCTCCAAGCACACAGCACCTGCCTGCATGTCCTCACACGAGGGGCAGACATTTGCCACTCTTAACTCTGCACACTGAGCACAGCCCGTAGGTTTCCTACAACCATCTTGGACATTTTGAGAGAGAAAAGCTTTATCCTGGCAACAGTGGCAAAGGCCAAGGGTTGCTTTTAAATSATAGGTAAGAGTCACTTCAGCCATTCATCAGGCAAAGGTCACCTGCCTATTGCCACCTGTGTTCCTGTACCTGCACAGCCCTCCCCGTGCAGCTGAAAGGGTGACACAGCTCTTGGAGCTGGAGCCTGGGCATTGCATTTGAGAGAAATCACCTGAGTGGCCATAATTTAAGCTTCATGYTTCAGCAAGGCTAGGCTCTGCACTGAATTGATGAAGCTAGAGATGTTCAACACCACTTCAGCAAGTTCAGCAATACCCTTGGCCACATTGCTAACTCCCACCATGAAATACTCTGTCCTGGTTTGTGCTGCCCTCAGCAGTCAGAGCTCTGATTTGGCAGAAAAGAAAWGGGTGTGCTGCGTTAAAGAGCAGCGTGGTCATTGGTCAGCGTTATTTTAGACCAAATCTCAAATTCCCCGTTAACCTCCTCTTCCTGGACAGGAAGTTTTCTGACCTGAAAGTATTTTCACACAGGTCCTGCTGTAATGTCCCACCTCAAAGGAGGCAGCAGTGAGCACTCCACAGCAAGAGCTGTCAATGGCCAGCAGAACCTGTCCAGGGACAAACTCAACCCAGCAGGAGAAACATTCCTGTCCCTAAGTCTGCCAGCCAGGTAACCCGGCTGCTCCTTTGAGACAGCTGTCAAAACAGGGGCCTGCCCAAGCCCTCCCTCCTTGTCACAACTGGTGACATTACAGCCACCATCAAGAGGCTTTGATTTCCTGGGCAAGTGTTGCCACCTTCCCAGACATCACTCTGCTTGCATCATGAAGTAACTCAAGAAGGGATTTACCGGGATCTACACAGGCTCTTTCCCAAGGCYTCACTGCCAGTCAAAGCTGCACCCATGCTGTACCAAGGAAACACTTAAAAATGAGAGAGTTTTAAAATTCTATGCAGTTTTAACTTGTAGAAAAAGCAAGATGTAGAGCAGCACTCAGCACTTAACTCTGGCAACAACATTCAAATCCAACAGGAGATAAGGATGGCCAGGCCAACCAGGGCCATCCTCTGACAACTGTAACTCCCTATCAAAGGCAACCAGAAGCCCAGAAAAAAAAAGATTTTTAAAAATCTTGTTGCAGTTACAATATATAAGACAATCACAAGAAAAGTATCCCTCAAAACCTCATGGCTTTAACTAAAGATTGCCCTTCCAAACAACTCCCCATCTTTTCATGTCGCTGAATCTCTAAAGAAAGGAACAGGGTGGGAGATTTGTTAAAGGGCTCCTGTTATTGGAGCAGAGACTAAAGCCAACCTTGCCCTGCATTCAAAGGCCACCGCCCCCTCACCCAGCCATAAACACACACCCAGTCACCCGGAATCACCTGGAACTGAGAGGGATCCTGCTGCTGGTGCCCASTGTGGGCACATTCCTGCCAAAACTGCACAGCTCTGCTTGGACACCTCACCTGGCACCTGATCTCTGGGTCATGTAACACATATTTCTGTCATGGCACAGTTCTGGCTCCTGACAGGATCTTGACGAAGCTCTCAAGCATTATTCTGCCAGGTAATGACATGTCACAGAAAGAAGCATTTCCTTTCTCACACACAAGCTTTCCTGCCTTTCAGTAACTGTCAATTCTCCCTTTGTTCACCTGCCTGCCCACCTCCCCTGCTATTAAGGATGTCTGACCTGTACTCTCTGTAAGCTTTCCTTATTTCATATCCAAGCTCCCTGGCAGGTATATTACTGGAGAATGACAAAAGTACATTTAAGTTGAGGACTTCCGAACAGTTTAGGAAATTAATCAAACACACCAACAAATTTAGAAACAATAACACTGAATCTACAAGRTGAGAGAAAAAAGTCTGTCAAATATTAAGACAATGATAATTAAAAAATCAGAGATGCTCCGTGTGCTTGTAATGCATAAAAGGTGGACAATCCTGTGCAGAAGGAGCTCACAGCAGTACTGCCAGACTGGCTTTAYCAAGGACATTTCTCTTTAAAGACAGGAGGTCCACAAGAGGCAGTGAAGGGATGATAGAGAGTGCAAACAAACAGAAAAACCTGAAAGGGAATAGCACCTGTATTGACTTCAGCAAAGGCAGAACTATGAACCTGGCTGAAAATCAAGTGCCAGACACCTGTGCCAAGCAGTGAYAACTCACACACTCTCCCCTTCCAGCGGGGCTGACAGGCCACCTCTTCCAGGCAGCCCAGYTTCTAACAAACCCTCACCGTGACTCAGAAAAGTCTTCACCATTTCCACGGCAGAGCAGCCCGTACCCTCACACTCCCCCGGTACTCACTGGAAAGCCATGGCTCCTGCCTCCAGGGTGCATCTCGTCGGGGACTGCTCGTTCAGCTTGCGGAAGAGCTGCTTGGCCTGGCTCTGGTACTGCTGCAGGTCGCGGCCTGACTGAGAAGGTAGGCAGGGAGAAGAACGGGCTGTTGGGGCGGTACCGGAGAAACACCGGGGCAGCTCCGGGGCTGCCGGAACAGCCCAACAGCACGGCACGGGGTGGCTCTCCCCCKCCCACACCCCAACACCGGGAGGGAAACGCTTGTGCCAAAGCCGCCCTAACGTGAGGAGGGACTGCGCGGGTCCCGGTGGGTCACTCCCCGCCCGCTCCTCACCGACACACCGGCCCCTCCCCACCAGCGCCCCGCCGGCCCCACCTGCTCGTCCTCCTGCATGGAGGCGGCGAGGGGGAGCCCGTCCGCCACGCGGGCGATCATCGTGAGCAGCACCATGGTCGCGCTCGCCGCCCGCCCTGCCACGGAGCCGCCCGGAAACTGCCACCGCCGCTTCCGGTCCGCGGCCGCCGCGCCACCGCCRCTTCCGCCCGGCCGGGGAAGCGCGGCTGCGCCAAGCGAAGCCACCCCCCTCTGCGATGACCACGCCCCTCTGTGATGGCCACGCCCCTCTGCGGTGGCCACGCCCCCAGACGCAGACGCGCTCCCTTAGAGCAGCCACGGCCCTTCCGCGCGGACACGCCCACTCCGCGATGGCCACGCCCATAAGACGCGCACGCCCCCATGCGACCACGCCCCTCAAAGCACCGCCCCCATACAAACCACGCCCCCAGCACTAACCGCACCTTTCACCCCGCCCACCGCAGAGCCCCGCCCCCTCGGCCCTGCAGCCCCGCCCCCTG